TAATATTATATAGCTATGAGTCAAACACAAAATCATTGATATTATTGATACTATTACAAAATGCAAATCATGCAAAGATTTCTTTTTTTCAATATTAAACAACTTATTTGAAAAAAATAAAATCAACTCTTCATTTAAAATTCTTTTATATTTTTTTAATATGTAAATTTTATTTTTTAATTTTATAAAATAACTCAAGTATATTAATATAGTATTACTTAAATGTTATAAATTACTTTCTTTAGATATTTATAAATGAGAATGTGTGTGTCTATATGTATGTATGTATGTGTGTGTAAATATATATACATATAAATATACATACACACACATATATATTTATTTATTTATATTTATATAATTTTGAAATATGTTTAAACCACTGGTTCGACCAGTAAACCAGTGAACTAGTACCTTGACCGGTTCGATCACCGGTCCGGTTCTGAAAACTATGGGTAAAAGTAAATGAGAATTTTTTTTGAGATGGATGAAAAAAGAAAAGAGAAAAGTTTTGTGAGACGTACGGAGTATAACAATATAAAGCAACAAAAGTATATACAATTAACTTCTATATATATATATATATATATATATATATATATATATATATATATATATATATATATATATATATATATATAGCCCCAGCACCCATATGCATTAAGAATTTTGATTAAAATACAACAACAAGCACACTCTCTTCCATGCTATTTTACATGATAAGTTTTCAACATGCCAATAACATGCAGAGTCAATGATATTTTTTTTATAGTGGTACTTGTGTACCCTATCTTTTTTAACCAATAATAAATTTGACACTACACTTGGCATCACATAAAGGAAATATTATCCCATGGGTGTGATGTGTATAAAAAGTGCAATGTCAAACTTCAAATATCCAAATAATTTAATTATATCCCACGTTTAAACTTTTCAAATTTTCCCACTAAATAACTTTACTAGTAGTGTATTTAATATATATATGTACGACTTTGAGGGTGAACCGGCAGGCCGGTCTCTAAGAGGAAGGCGTAGTAGTCATCTTCTTCCACTCGCGTTTGAAAATCATCATAGAAATGTGAGGCAAAGCAACGGGCACCAAAATGCTCCTCTCCGCACCGGCGGCGGCGCTCATCGGACGTTCTAAGAAGGTGGCTCCGTAGGCGGCGGTGGAGGCGCCGGCAAATACCGCATCCCCCCAACCAAAGTCGAGCTTTTCGAGACCGATTCTCGATATGTCCGAAACCAATATGTTCCCGACCACGGACATCCTCGGTCGCCCGTTGCACACCATGAAATCCATCACCGAGTTCACGTAGTCGGAGCTTAGCTTGCCCTTCGCCTCCCTGATCAGCTCGATGGCGTAGCTGATGGGGCCCTCGCTTAGCTGCTTTGATGTGGTGGAGGCGGAGAGCATCACAATGGCGTTCCCGTAGTACCCTCGGGGGAGCGGCAATTCCGTGGCGGACGATCTCCCGCGCATGTCCGTGGGGAACGTGACCCGAACCGTCATAGACGGATCGGGTTGCAACGCCACGGTGCGGCATTTCCACAGACAGGCAGCGACGACCTCGAACGTGGTGCACTGGCCGTAGCCTTGCGCCACGGCCAGGTCTTTCAGGACCTGGATCTCGTTCGGCCCGAGGAGGAAGGAGCGCTGGAGCAAGATCGGTCTCAGTATTCCCGGGAAGAAGAAGAAGCGCGGCATCGCCGCCACCTTGTCAAAGTTCAAAATCACGCCGGCCCACCGCTCCATGTCGAGCGGCTTGAAGAAGCGCTTGCGACGCGCGACCGACCCGTACAGGCCCTGGAGGTCGCGCATTGCGCTGGAGTGGCTCCTGGCTGCGGCCGTCTCCTTTGGCTCTGCGGTCAGGAGCTCTCTCTCCCAAACAGGGAGAATAGAGGGCGCCGAAGCGCCGTTTGCCAATTCGCAAACGGCATTCAAGAAGAGGGCGATGCCGTAGCCGTCGACCATGGTGTGGTTGAACCGGACGCCCAATGCAAAGCCGCCGCAAGTGAAACGAGTCACCTAAGAATAAGAACAGATGGATTTGTTTGTTAACAAAGTGAAAAGAAAAAATGGTACGGGCAATTATCTGTTGAGGCAAGGCAATGAAGTCAAAGACATCAGCTGTCAAAATAATAAAAAATAAATAAAAGGGTCAAAGATATCAATGTTTTGGGCTTGGCGTGCGATGCCAGCCAGCATATCATTCAATTTCTTGTCCGGCGTTTAATGCTGCTCCTTCCCTTTCGTTCTTTATTTCTGTTTTTTTTTGCAAGTTTTTATTATTCATCTTAGGTCTTGTTTGGATGTTAGCGGTTAGCTGTTGGTAGTTGGCTGTGTGTGTTGGCTGTTTTGAATGGCTGATTGAGTTAGCTGTCTTGACCAGCGGATTGCGCATTGTATTGGCTGTTAGAAAAAAATTGTTTGGTAAATTTAGTTGTTCATAAACAGCTGTTTGCAATGAAAATTACATATTTAGACATGTCTCCAAATATATTGCTTAATTTTTCTTAAGGATGTGTTAATTACTTCCTTCGTCCAGAAATATTTTTCACATTTGACTTTTTTTGGTCAAAGTTTGTAAACTTTGACTATGATATGTGGAAAAAAGCCAATGTATTAAGATATAACTTTAATATGAATATATTCATTTTGAAATATAGTTTTTAAATATCAAATTTTTTATAAAATATATCCATGTATAAATAAAGATATTAGTGGTCAAAGTGTAATCTTGGATACTGTAAAAAGTCAAATGAGAAGAACATTTCCGGACAGAGAGAGTAATTTATTGTTTTGAATCGTTTAAATTTTTAAATTTTGATAACAATAACAACCTAGTAGGATCCCAGGAATATAGGATCAAGGAAGGGTGTTGTACGCCGTT